CTCATTATTCTCGGAGAGGTCGGTGGTAGCCGAAGAGAGAAGCAGGTGGATTTTAGAGTGAGAAGGACGGGGCTTCTGAACGTCTTCTGCAGGTCTTTTGAACGTTTTGAAGCTTGAAGGCTTCTAAATATTCCAAAATTTGAGAGTGTGAGCCTTGAGAAATAGCTTTCTAGCAATTTTTCATTCTCAGAGATGAGCCAGAGAAACAGGAGGAGGAGAATTTTAGAGCGAGGCTTATTGGTTGATCTTCTGAATTTCTTCTGAAGGTCTTCTGAAGGCCTTCTGAAGGCTTTGAAGCTTGAGGACGGAACTGAAAGATTGAAGTTTGAAATTTTTGAAAATTTGAGAGTATGATCCTTGAAAATTGAAGCTTTCTAGCAAGTTTATAAGTTTTTTATTCCCAGATGTGAGCCAGAGAGACAGGAGGAGGAGAGTTATTAGTTGATTTTCTGAATATCTTCTGCAGGTCTTCTGAAGGTCTTGGAGTTCGAAGAGAGTAAATCTTGAAAATGAAGCTTCCTACAGGCATTTGGCGTCAAAAAGAGTCAGTTTTCTCATCTTCAAAAGGTCTTCTGACGAAGCTTGAGAAGAAAGTGATCTTGTAAAAATGAATCTTCCTACCAAGTTCATAAGCTCTAAAAGTCTTCTGTAGGTTTTTTGAAGGGTTCCAAGTTTGTGGAAAATATGATCTCAAAGTATAGTGTTTCTAAAAAATTTTTAGTCTTGAAAGTCTCTCGAACTTTATTTGCACCCCTCAAACAGGAGCTTTTTTTAAAGTTTTCACGACTTCTAAAGGTGGTATGAAAAAACCACCAGCGAAAGTTCGAACGGCGACTTTTCCGATTTTTTCATATCGCTAGGGAACTTTCCGACGGCCACCTTTCCGACGGATCCCTTTCCGACTTTTTTTCCCTTAAGTTTTTTTCGGTTTATAAAACATCTATAAACATTGTTTTTTTCTATTTCTTTGTGTTTTAATCATTAACCAACTAACTACTTTATATAGGCAGATTTAAAACGAAAAGTTTATCGAGAAAAAAAGTCGGAAAAAGATTCGTCGGAAAGGTGGCCGTCGGAAAGTTCCTTTAGCGATATGAAAAAAATCGGAAAAAGTCGCCGTTTGAACTTTCGCTGGTCTTTTTCATACCACCCTTCTAAAGACTTATTATTTTATCGAGAGGTCCATTTTATTTACATGTAGCTCCTGGGATACAAGGAAGAAGATTTTAGAGTGAACTTCGTTTGTTTTAAGACTGCTAGGGGTCTTCTAAAAGTTATGAAGCTTGAAATTTAAAAAAAAAATGGCTCTTATTCAACTGCCTTTCTGGGATTTTTTTTTTCGAGCTTTCTGAGTTGAGGAAGGAATAATTTGATGCGATCACTCTAAATTTTCCTTTTTTATCAAATTTCGAAAGGTCTTTCTATACCACGGACTCCTGAGATGTCTATAAAAAGTTCTTTCTAGAGCATGGTTTGTAGAAATTTCATAACGATTTTTGAAAGGAAAAAACAGCTGAAAGGATTTTTCTTTTCGAAGCTCTCCTTGTACAGAATATTATTAATTCTTTGTCACCAACATCAAAATTTTTTCTAAGTTCCTTCCTTTTTAACCGAAGTTTAAAGAACCTTATTGAAATGACCTGAATGAGAACTGTTTTAAAGCTTTCAAAGCATTATTCAATTCACAATCGCAAGTTAGATCATCGTTCGAAAGGAGCTTGAGAAGTGAATTTATTCAAAAGTTCAGCAATTATCGGAACTTTCCTTCTGTATTTTCATTCCGAATCCCGTTTCGAAACGCTTAAAAATAGGTACCAAAAGAGGCGTCGCCTCGTTTGCACGGGCGACACATTAGATGGGCGGAGTCCAGGACTCTCATTGGCCGGACGGAAAAATTGCTTCTTCCCTTCTCTTTCCTTCATTTTGTTCATTTATAAATTTCCAAAGTTTTGAGATCTTTTTTTCAGTTCTCAATATTTTGAATGTATTCAAGGCCGTTTTTGCCGCGATAGATAGGTAAAATGTCGCGGAAATCATTGATCACATTTTTATTTTCCAAATCGTAAGCTTTTTTTCAAAACTATTTCAAGGAAAAAAATGGAATTCCGTTCAAAAATCCTATTGAAAACTCGTTTTTTTCTATCATTTTCCGCCTAAATCGAACGTTCCTTTATGAATACTACTATAATTGAAGCTTACACGATGACATTTTCACCTCGTATTTATATTTGGAGCCCCGCAAATCTCTGATTATTAGAACATGTCGCAAACGTCCAAAGCTCTCGGCCTTATTTTTTGAGAAAAATCGAGTTATTTTTGAATCATTTCTCGAGTTTCGAAAAGCTCGGATTATTATCACTAGAATCTCCAATGTTTTGCTTAAGTGGCCACTCGATAATTTTTAGTGTATCGTCAAGAGACCACTTAAGAATCTTTAAGATGTCTGAAGCATCCGTCTTCATACAATTTTTCATTAATAATAAATTTCCAGTTTCTTTTTGAGCATGTTCTCAATCAAAAGTTGGAAGTGGTCACTCGGGAAATTTGTCGACCTCTTAAGTGGTCACTAAAGATTTCTTACACCATGAGAGCGCCCACTTGGCAAAAATCCCAGCTACTTCTTAAGTGACCACTCATAAAGTTTTTTTTATTTTTATTCAATTCTAAAATGTTCTATAATTTTTTGAGCGTTTTCTTAATCAAAAGGTGAAACGAGACCGTTAATCAAATTCGCCAGCTATTTGTGGAATTCATCGTGGCAAAAGGAAAAGTTAAATTGGTTATGGGCCCCTTGTAATTATGAGCACCTTGAGGTAAGAAATATAATTAAATCTTTCGCCGGACCGATCTATAGTTACCTATTTGTTCTCAAGTTTCAATAAATATTGTTTTTTAGAAAAAAAAACATTGAAAGCTTGGTTTTTATCTGAAGTTTTTTTGAATTACAAAATCGTACCGTTTCGAAATTGATTTTCCTTCTGAATTTTTTTATTCATTCGTCTTTAATTTGTAGCAAAGGCCAAAAATGCAATACTTGATAGGTTTCAAGCCCGATTTCAGTTCTCAAAAAAACATCTTAGTGTCTGAAAGAATTTATCATTTTTTTATACTTGTTTTTTTCCACGAAAAAGTACGTTTCTGGAAGCTTTTATCTAGAAAATGATGGACGATTATCTATTAGCATGAATGGTTTCTTATTGAAAAAGGATTTTTAGAAATTTTTAAAGGCAGATTTTACCCATGATTTGTAGAAAAAAAGGATTAGACTTATTTTTTTTCGATTATTTTTTTCCAATTGAAAGATGTCAGGACGTTTTTGGAGATTCAAAAAAGCTTCATTTAATTTTTTTCTTATTTTTTTCCCATATTCAGGAAACTGCATTGAAAAAAATTGATTCAATTTGAATTTTGAACTTTAAAAAAATCAAAAAAAGTTTGATTTTTTTGTTCTGTTAAAAAAACTGAAAAATCTTGAAAAGTCGAAGTTTCAATCAAAAAGGTTTTTCAAAAATATGATTTTTTTATTCTATTCCATTTATAATTCTTACATTTTTTTACATTCTATTATTTTTCCAGCTGAACGAGGTTTTTCGTTGTTTCTTTGCAAATTATCATAAATCTTACGGAAAAATTTTTTTAAAAAAATTTAGAAATTAGGTTGGAATATGGATGCTCGAAGCCTGTATCAAAAAAATCTGGAGATTCTCATTTTTTTATCATTAATCATGGACAACATCTGCAATTCATGTTCAGAAAAATCCAGATTTTTTCCATTCCGAAGCATTTCTTCGAGTTTTTTTTTTCAAATTTTTTTCTCCTAAAAAAATTCTCAAAATTTTCTCATTGGTTTTTCTGGATATTATCGTAATTCTGTTCTTCTTCTCGGCCTTGAAACTCTGGAAATTTTCCTTTTTTCTGCATTCGTTTTATGCACTTTTCCTTTGGATTTTTCTTTCATGATTCAGAACTTTTATTCACAGGCGTGATTAATAACCTAAATTACTCAGAATCAGAAAAATCCCATCTCAAAAATATTATTCTGCAAGCAAATTTTTCCAGAGTTCTATTCAAAATTCCTCCACTTGTCGAGCGAATTTCTGGTTGGTTTTTCTTGGATATTATCATAATTCTGCTCATCATCTCTTCGGCCTCGAGGCGAAGGAAGGCGAGTTAGGCCAATCATGCCCTCCCAAATGTGTTAGTTTGTGTGGCGTCCGTCTGCTCGGTTGGAGCAAATTGGCCGCTCCACCAATAACTTCATAACCGGGCCCCTGGCCTCGCAGCCAAATGAATTCCAATTCGAATTCCAAGGGAACACACAACTTTTTCCCCCCACCACAGTAATTTCGTCCAGTTTCACTAGTTTCCGGCTTATTTTTGGGTCCATTTTCTATAGGAAAGAGAAGAGAAAATATTGTTTCTCGTCGAGGATTCTGTTTTACTGTATTCTTTTTTTGCGACTTTCAATTAAAAGAAGAGCAGATTTTGGGTTTTATACTCAAAAAAGACAAATTTTCCGTCTCCTTAGCTCAAAAAGACCTGGTCGCACTGGGAATGACTCGATGCGTTGCGGAGGCGCTGCGGTTCGTGCTATCCGTAATTTTTGTAATTTCGCCATTTTTTTTCATTGGATTTCTTTCAAACTTTTAGCCAGTTTTCATAGGAAATGGTAGAGAAAGTACTGTTTTTCGTTGAAAGTTTCATTTTTACTGTTGGATAAATAATGGGATAATTTTCCTATCTCCTTAACTGGAAAAACTTCTCGTCGCACTTTGAATGACTCGATGTTTTGCGGCTGTTGCTATATACATCCGGAAATTTGTCGAGTTTCAAATGTAGCCGGCATATTTTTTTGAACTTTGAAGGACCTAATTTTAAAAAAAAGCAATTGATAATTTTAAATGATTTTTTTGATCTGTCCGACCAGAGAAAGATTAAGAAATAGGAAATAAGTTCAGTTGAAAAGCCCGTAAAAATTAAAAATCAAGTTTTATCCACCTTCAATGAAAGCGTCCGAATGGTTCGATGCGTTGCGGTCGCGTCGCGACCCCCAGGAGCTTGATTAGAGGACTATAGATGCTTCCGCGCGTCGCTAGTTTGTCCGGCCCGCTTTGAAGCAACTTCTTGACAACCGCTACGACTTTAGCCATTCCAAGTGCGACCATGGGTCTATAGTAGACTTTACATGCTTTAAATAAAAAGAATTTTTTTGAAAAAAATCTTCGATTGTAGAAGTTTCTAGAGCCGATTGACAAAAAATCGTTGATAAAATCCGTAGATTATCAAAGGAGCCTCCGACCACAGAACGACTTGCGCGCGTCGCCACTGAATTCAAGAAAAAAATGGTTTTCAAATCAGTAAATGACGAATTGCCGAAATTCAATCTAACATTTCATCCAGCTTTGAAATTAGTTCCAGTAGTCAAAGTTTTGATTAATACGTTGTTTTTAACTTTCTTTAAAATTAAGATCAACAATTTATACTTGATCCCAAAATTACTTTACATGGAATTCTTCTTGAAAAACCTGTAATGTTGCTCGAACTCGGCCAAAAGGCAATCTTGAGCTTCGAAATAAGCTTCTCGGAAGAATTCCAAGTCTTGGTGATAAATTTGGGAAGCTGAACAGAGATCGGGACTTTTTTGAAGAACAGTATAACTTTTTGCAAAAGATGAACTTCATCCAGAAGTCAATCTCAAGCTTTTCCAGCTTCCAAATTAGCGGCTCGAGCCCAAATCTTGGTGAAAACTCGGTGATGCGACTAATTGCCCGAAACCTAAACAAGTATAACGAGCCGAGAAGGAGACGAAGAAGAAGGAGCTCATTTGGAGCTGGCGGAGGTTTCCCGTCGGCTTCCAGGAGCCCTAATAACCACCGTAATCTTCCTCCTCACACTTGCCCCGAAATGAATGACGAGCCGCATTCTATTGGCCATTCACCAACACGATTCGTGCTAATTTTCTCTCGTTTTCGCACCTCTCCCGGGGTCGTTTCCGTCGATTATTCAACACTTGGCTGCGGCTGCCACTGCCGCTGCCAATTTTCTCTTTCTCCATCGTTTCTTACCCTAATCATTTTCTTAATAATAGAGTGGGTCTATTGCCTCCCTGGCCGCTGCTCCCTCCGACATTATTTATTTTCTTATTGGCTTAAGATTTTAGGGATTAAAGCGGCTTGGATTGGCGAAGAGGAGTGGCGGAAGGAGATTTCTTTTAAAAACTCTAGAGTGGTCCCTAAAGGGGCTACTTGGGGGGACCTTCAAGGCCCTCTAGTGACCGCTTCAAGATTTCTATAAGAACCACTGAAGTTTGCAAACGTGACCCCTAAAGAGAACATGCTAGTCGATTCACCTTGACGGAAAAGGATTTGAAGGCGAACAACTCAATAAATTAACGCTTTTTTTTTGACTATTTTTCCCCTAACCCCTATAGTGACCCCTTTCTGAGCCAGCCAGGTTTTGGAAAAAACTTATTCAAAAAATACAGGGAAAATGGTGGCTTTCTTGACTGAAAACGGATCCAATAACTGAGAAAAATGATGATTATTGATTGATGATGAAATGATGATTAAACCGTACAGAAAATGAATAACTTAACGCGGCTGATTCTAGCTTCATCGCTACAAGGTATCGGATTTCAGTGTATTTGGATAAAAAGTGGCGTATTTTGATAAGGAATCGTTCTGAAAAGGTCGAAAGTTGACCAATCTGAGCCGCGGCTGGTTTTTAAACGTTTTCTGAGATTCTCTCCATATTTTCTTACCCTGATAATTTCTTAAAGTGTTACTGTTTCGCCAAATTATCGACTTTAAATGTGAGAAAATTGATTTTTTTACCTTTAAAGACGTTCAGAAACGAAAATGTATAAATACTCTTTTCAGTAAGAAAACTAAAGCCAATTTAAAATTTGACGAATTTTTTATAGATTCTTTCCAAACTTTGCATGGTTTCTAGTTTTACATTTTCAAGAACTAGTTTCGACATTTTCGATTTTCCGCTGCTTATTGGCTTAGAATTTGTCGCGAACATCTTCCAATTAATAACTAATTTTGGCGTTATGAATGGATAAATTGAATGCGGATCGTTGTGAGAAGGCTCTTTCAAAAGGAATTAAAAAAATAATTTCAGTTTATTGAAAAACTTAAAGTCAAAAATTTTCCATTTGAAGAAAGGTCTGTGAAAATCCAAGGCCGAATTTTATGATCAAAATTTTTCCCGAGTTTGGTTTCGCACTAGTTTCTTTATAATGTGAAACTTCGTAGAATGCATTTTATGAGTTTTCAGAATTTGTGAAACTTTCAAGACGTATCCGCCAATTTTTTAAAATATCAAAGTAGGATCTCAGGCGAATCCTGGGAAGTTGTTGGGAAGGTAATTATCAGAAGATTGGAAGGTGTATGGAAGCTAGAAAATTTTGGGAAAGCCTTTGGAAGGTGTTCGAAAGGTGGAAGGAAGGTATTTGGAAGGTGAAAATGGATAATGCCTGCCAGAAGCCTTCCAGAAGCCTGCTGGAAAGCTTCCGGTAGGCTTTTTCTGAGTAGAAGGTGTCAGGAAGCTATGTGGAAGGCGTTCGACCATTTGCTGGAAAGCTTCCAAACGCCTTCAGAGGAACCGAAAGCAGATCTTCCCAATTTTTACCTGAGATTCGTGAGGAAGTTTTTCTTAAATTTCATATCCAATTTCCATAATATTTTTTTTAAATCATGCAATCGGTAGATTTTCCTTTTTTATCTTCCTTTAACGTAAGGCTTGTTTGAAAAAATGGTCCGAAAAGAGAAGTTTCAAAAATGTTTAGTTTCTGTCAAAAGCTTCTTTTCTTGTAAATGTTACGTTAATTAACAAATTTCTCAATTTTTTTTTCAGTTCTGTCGGTTCGAAATTTGTCCCAAATATGACTCAAAATCCGAAATGAAACGAGATTTTAGAGATACCTTAATTTTGGTTGAACTTGGTTTTTTTTTTTCTGAAACTTTCTCGTAGATCATATAGTTAACACTTTATTTTTTTCTATAATACTAATGAAGGAAAATTTGCTGTTTTTTCATTATTTTATTCTTTTCATAGAACTCGCCCCTCAAAACTATGGTCCAAAATGGAGAAGTGAAGTGAGATTTGGGAGCTTTCTTGGCTTTGGCTCAAGTCTCGGGCCGCCAACACCGGCGACGGCGGCCAATTAGCTAATTCGGGCGGGCCACCAGTTGATTGGATTAAACCTCGGCAACGACTAATTTCGCGAGCTCTCCGGCCAAAACCCACACTCACACCGGCCAGCCCAATCTTAGCCGTCTCCTTGGCCCTCCTTAAATCGAACTTTTATTCCGTTTTTTTAATTTTTTTAATTTTCAAAATTCGAATTTTCAGCTTCTTCCTCAAATCAAAACTGGTTTTTCATAGAAATTTGAGCAATTTTGAGGTACCCTCAATCATTTTCACTCCGATTTCTTAATTTTTTTAAAAATTTTTTTAAAAACCAGCTCTCAGCCTTCTTCTTGACCCTCCTTTAATGAACTTTCCTTTCATTTTTAATTTTTACCTTCGAAATTCGAATTCTCAGCTTCTTCCTCGATTCAAAACGGGTTTTCATAGAAATTTGAGCTTCTCTCAGTAAAATTCCGAATTTTTAGTTTTTCAAAATCAGCTCTCAATCTTCTTGCATTTTCTTAAAGAAACTGTCCTGCATATCGTAATTTTTTATTGCCCAAATTCGAATCTTCAACTTCATCCTATAGTCAAAAACGGTTTCCCATGGAAATCTGAGCAATTTTCCACTTTTTCCAGTCATCCAAATTTTCACTTTCTGTACTTTTACTTGACTTTTTGGGAAGAAATCCTAGGTTTTCAACTTCGAAATTTTTTTGATTCATTCAATGTGGTTTGTTTTTAACTGCTTCTAAATTCCGAAAACGATCTTGAAAAGACCTAAATCGGTTATTTACCTCTGACTTGAGATTATAAAAAATGTTTAAAAGAAGATTTGGAGACGTCTCTGTAGTGGCTTTTTTTCTACTAGCGCTGGATAGAGTATGAATTTCGAAAATAAAAAGTTATTTTCATGACTTTCAGATGACCAAACGTCTTCCCTGTATCAATTTTCTCTTCGTTTTTCCTTAATTTTTATTTTTATCTACTCTAACATCTTCTCGTATTACGCGCTGCCTTTTGTCAATCGATTCCGATTGGATTCTCCGACTAATCTTCGTTTTCCTAAAAAAAAAAAATTCAAACTCACACCCCTCAAATGAATATTTGACGGAAATTTGTTTTACCTTGACAAGAGTTCATTTAGTCATCACCGAACAGCCCTTGCAAACATGAGCAACACTGATTATTCGAAAAAAGTTATATTGCGATTTCTTTTAAATCTAACGTTGAAAATAATTCGGCACAGCATCGTCGAACTTTCTCAGCTAACATGAGCAACACTGAGAAATTATTATGATAAAAAAATACAGTTCCGATTTCTTCAAAGACTGGCTGTAGCTTTGACAGTACTTCGCCTCGTCAAGCTTGCTCAGCTAACATGAGCAACACTGAGAAACTATCAAAATGAAATTGATCACGGCTTTCTCTGAGACTGGCTCAAACTTTGACAGGACTCCACCAAATTTTCGTCAAACTTTCTTGATTAGCATGAGCAACACTGAGAAATCATTATAATAGAAAAAGGGCGATTTCCTTCAGGACTGGCTGTTGCTTCGACGACACTTCGCCCCGTCAAGCTTGCTCTGCTAACATGAGCAACACTGAGCAAACGATTACTGTCATTTATCTGCCAAATTACCCATAACTCTATTTAGCAGAAGACGAGTACGAAAAGACGAAGCAAAAAAAAAAATGAATTTTTGCGAGGGCCTCGGAGGCCAACTCGATTTTGTTCATTTGCAAAATTTCTGTGCGCGCCGCCTTTGCCTAACTGACGGGGGGAAAAATGTTTCGAAACGTAATTTCTGAGAATCGGCGAATTGCGTGCGAAATTTGCACATATTAGGCCGAGAAGAAGAAGAAGACGACCACCGGCCACGCCCCCATTTCCTTATTACCGTCTTCTTCTCCGACGTCTTCTTCGTTTTCGCCGCCCTTCGTAGTCTTCATTAGCCGCTTCATGGAGAAACTGCTAAACTTTGTGGAATTGTTGAAAATATTAATGATCTCCCATCAGCTCTTCGATCTTCCATATTTTTCTGGCAATTTTAAAATTTTTTTCAGTATTTATAAAAATTAGAAAAAAGTTATTTATCTTATAAATTCCGAAGCAAAAGTCCTTGAAAATTCACTGATTTTCTCTGTTTGTCGTTTTTTCTAATAGATCCATGAGATGCCTACAAAAGTTTCGTGTATTCGATATGGAATTGAATTTTGAACCATTTTTGAGCATCATTGGATCCTTAAAGAAGTTACGCTGGTTTTATCGCCTCTTGACTATCTTCGTTAGCTTCTCCATAAAGTGCAGAATATAATATAAATCCCCTTAGATGTTCACTGTCCGCATTTGAAATGGCTCACTGCGTCGCGGTCACGATGCGGCTCAACCTCGATCTTAAGTTTTTCAAACGAAAGTAGTTTTTTGGTCGGGCGCACGCCAAAAGTACCACAGAATTGTTCTCGGAAAAAATACTGATTTCCTTGCTTTGGAAATTTTATACTTTTTTGTTGCTCATGTTAGCTGGTAGTTTTGTAGTTTAATGAAGTATTGCTCATTTCAGATTTTTCAACCTTAATTTTAGGAGCTTTCATATCAGAATGAGAGGGCTTATTATAGATTTTTTGAGAAAATTTCTAGAAATTATTTATTTTGTGAACTTTTTGATTCAAAAAATTCGATTCTTTTTTTTTCTAGGGAAATAAAAGCAATGATCATAGCTTATTATTTATCTGAAGAACCATTTTTCCGATTTTTTCCTCGAATATTCTATTTTTTGTGTTCAAGGTCTTTTTCTTTAAAGGCAACATGCTACATATTTTGAAACTAAGCTTAAATTAACTACCGTATGTTGGACGTTCAAGATGCGTACGTTGTTTGCTACGATGACGCGGAAGGGTCCATATTTTTAACTTCCAGTTTCGTCAAATTAGGGGTTAAGATAAGGTCACCGTCTAATCATATGTCTTCCGAGCTCAAAAATGGAATCGTCAGCTTATTTTTTCTCGGAAGGTACTTTTGCCTTTCAGAAGCTCATTGAAAGTATCCTAATGATTTTCAAATCTCAAAAGGATTCCAAAAAACTAGTTTTGGTGCTAACAAAGATTAAACCATATAGTGACACCTTACTTCGTTGAATACATTCAAGTCGGCCTGATAGGTTTTTCCACTGATTTTCAGATTTGTTTTGGAATTTTTTACCATTATCTTAATCTTTCATAGATTGGTGAGGGTACGAAAATATCCTTTTGTCCAATTTTTTTTCTGAATTTCAAATCACTTGATTTTCTTAAATTTCAAGTGATATTAGAAAATTTTCGATTTTCACATTTTTTTTAAAATTTTTTTAAACTCGTTTTCATGTTCTTTCATTAATTTCTGACTGTACAAAAATCTCCTTCTGTTCGATTTTTTTTTTCGAAATGCCGAGTTCCAAGTCCTCAACTTTTAGTTAGTAACCCTTACGCTTTAGTTCACCGAAAAAAATTTTACATTTTTATCATCTCCACTGCTTTAAAAGCTGTACAAAAATTTTCTTTTGTGCGATATTTTTGTGCAAAATCTCACTTTAAAAGCCCTAAAGTATTAGTATCCCTTGAAACCTTGTAATTTATTCTGATCTCTAATTTAATTCTAAAAATTTTTTTGGTCCCAAATTTTTTTCTCATACACTACTCTCTCATGCATTGATAACCGTAAAAATTTTTTTTTTCCATATCCCGCTCTAAAAACCCTTCAAAGCCTTGCACACCTTTAGCCAAACCGGAAACATATGTTCCAAATGGGACAATTCTGACACCTTGTGTCTCCAGATGTGTCTTCGTCTCACCTTTATACTTTTGTTTAAAATTGAGAAAAAAATTGGTCGCCAATATAAAGACATCCAATTCGTTCACATCATAACTTTTCGAAAAAAAGTTTCTTTGAGCATCGCCGAGACGGCTAATTTGCTCGCACCTGCTGGGAGATGGGAGTTTTTTTGTCCGGATGTTCTGATTCTTTGATTTTTTTGAGTTAGGAAAGTCTTTTTACAATTTGTTGGAATTATTAAAAAGTAGACCTTCTTAAATTTATGATAAAACGGTTAAAGTTCACAAAAATCAAACTGTTTCGAACAAAATTTCCAGATTATCTTTAATTTTTCCCCTAAAAACATATTAATTCGAATATTTGTCTCTTGATTTTTTTTTTTGAATTGCTCATACAAAAATTTTTTTTCCGAGATTCTTGAATTATTCAATTTTTTTACCAGTAAAAACAAAAAAAGGAAAGAGAAGCTCCAATTCCACAATATTCGACCGTGACGCGACACGCAACGCGTCCGAAAATCCAGATTTTATGAACTTTATTTGCATTTTTTACGGTTCTTCCATTTACTATTTTCGATTTCCATGTTCAGTCATAGTGATTGACTATTTAAATTCGGGTCAATTTGATTTTGGGGTTTCAGCCGCGACGCGACACGCAACGCGCCTGAAAATTGAGATTTTGGGAACTTTTCTGGTTCTTCGAATTTCAGCTTTCGAATTTTCGTTTTCTATTGTCAATTTCTAAGTTAAGTTGTAGAGGTTTTTGATCAGGATTCCAATTCCCGGTTTGAGGTTAGGTTAGCCGTGGCGTAACACGCAACGCGTTCAAAAATCTGGATTTTTTGGAATTTCTAGATTTTTTGAAATTTTTAGATAATAATTCCTGTTTTTGATTTCTATGTTCAGTGATAAGTTTATTGATCAAGATTCAAATTATTCGAGTTTCGATTGAGCCAGCCGCGACGCGACAAGCAACGCCTCAGAAAGTCCAATTTTCTCGAACTTTTCGTCTGAGTTTTGCTGGGCGATTTTCATTGATTAGCTCGGTCCGAGCCGTGGAAAGGCCTGAGAGAAAGACCTTTGCCACCCTCCGAAAAGTTTAGAGCCGTAACACCGGGTTAATTAATTGCAACCACATGGTGTGTCGAGTGGGGAGAGCTCCTCCCAATAAACATTTTTCCATTTTTTTTTTTCGGCTCTTCTCCTCGTTTCTCATCGTTTTTATCTGAAAGCTTTGGTTCCTTGATAATCTACAGATTGTCTTGTGACTCGCGGATTTGAAAAATTGAAAACTGTTAAGCTCGCAGAGATTTCCGGCAAGTTTCAGGATCTGAGAGCTTAGATAGTGAGGGAAAATTCTTGGATTTTGAACTTTTTATCTGAAGAAAAATGTTCGTTCTTTGAAATTGTGAGGAGATATTTGTTGTGAAAAAAATTTTGGCGATCATGAAAGTTAGGACAAGTGTGGAGTTCCGATTTTTTCGGATTAACTTGATTTTTTGAATAAATCCTCAGCTTTTTCTTTCGAATTTTTTTTTTCTTGTTCATCTACAGATTGTCTTGTGACTCAATAATCGAGAGAGAATTGCTGCAAAAGGTTTTTTTTTCTCTTATCTTTCTAAAGAACTGTCTCTTTTTTTGAAGAACTGATAACATGGATTGCAAGATAAGTTACGAATTTTATTTTACAAAAAATTTAAGGCACAGGGAAAGCCATGGTATGTTTTTTCCGTTTTTAAAATCGTTTTATCAAAATAGGGCTTTAGACTCAACTTTTTAAGGCATAGGTGTAGTAAAAAAAATGGGGTTGTAGACAGAAATGCCATTTTGTAGAGGACTTTTTTTCGGAATATTCTAGCAGCGGAAGAGTTCAAATTTCAAAACCAAAAAGAAATTGGTTTTGATATTGTCAAGCGTCGTAAGCAATTGAAAGAATGAAGAAGATTAATTGGCACATTTTCCAGAGCTAATGTGTGTTAAAAGATAAGCCCGACGCGTCGTTATCACCAGGGCCGCTTTTCATCCGCGCGATTTTGCAATCTAATTAAGCTCTCTTCAAATGTGTACGTGTCTTCATTACAAGCGTCAACTAATTTCCGCCCCATATCCGCTTATTTTACAAAATATTTAAGCCTTTCCTCGACTGCCCTTTATTTGTCTCTTTCTTTCTTCCCATCCTATCCTACCATAATCCTGGCAAGGCTGTTACGTCGAATTTAATCACATAAAGTGTTGTTAGCAAAAAAGGGCGGACTTTACAGATCTTTTGGCCGGGCCGATGCGAAATTCGGATGTCGGACGTTGAAGTGCGACGGATGCCGTTCGAAGGCAACAACCCCGGCCCGTCCACTCATCGAGGTTCCCCTTTTTCCGTCTTTTCCGGAAGTTCTTACGTTGTAATTGGTTGATAAGTACAGTTTTTGCAGTTCAACTTGGATTCTTACTTGATTGAAAAGTTTGGAAATTTTTTGGAGTTGAATAATATTTGCATCGATACCATTGTTTGGTTGTACCGACCTTCTAATAGGTTGAAAAATGCATTTTTGTAGATTTAATTAATAATTATTGCTATATTATTGCGAAAAATATTGAAAATTTATGGAGCGGAATGATATTCGGATCGATACGATATTTTGGTTGTTGTGACCTTCTAATAGATTGAAAAATGCTCTTCTTGCAGATCAGTTTATTGTGCCCAGTCGCGCTTGTAAGCATAGATAATTTCTTCGAAAAAAAAAATCGAGGTTTCCTTTTTTAGGTCATTTGGAAGTTTCCACCTTCTCACAGGTAGCGAAATACCGTTTTTGCAGTTTAGCTTCCTGCTTGAATCAAGCTTGAAATAGTTCAAATTCATGATGCGTAGTAACTTTCGAATCACTTGTTCTCATCTCTTTTTTGAAAGTTCCGTCCCCTTTGGCGATTTCGAGAGAATGGTTCCAGAATCAGAATCGAGCTCGCCGAGCATCGCCGACTCGAGCGACATCCTCAAGATGCTAAGCGACCCCAACAACATGTTTGGTGAGAATCATCGCCATTTTTCAAGAAAATGAAAAAAAGTATTGAAAGCCAATTGGGAAATCGAGGTTTTCCTACATTTATGGAGTTGGCCTTCCGGTCAAATTCAAGTCATAATGGGAAGAAATCAAGATTTGAGCTTTCAATTTTTTTTTTAGTTTTTGGGAATAGATCTCTTCGTTCCATTGAAAAACTAGCAACTGAACGAGGACTGGAAATAGTTCCCAAGCAGAAGTTTCTATTCGAAAGTACCAAAATGGGAACACTTCAGCTGCACTCGAAGGCCCAAAAACACCGCTGGAACGGTATTTGGCGGCCGGGCTTGAGGAAGCGGCCGCCAGTGGATTCCCGGGCGATCCCTCGGGACTCCCTTTCGGCGATTTGTCCGCTTTTGGAGCTTTAAGGTTGACTAATTCAGAAACCATAGACTCCTTGAATTTTTTCAGAAACACCTCAAAGACCTTGAAATGTCCCAAATGCAACTGGCACTATAAATATCAGGAGACTTTGGAGATCCACATGAAGGAGAAACACGCCGAATGCGATGTGAGTTTGAGAAAATGGCGGTTTTTTGAAGGATTCGTGCTCCGAGGGTAATAGATTTATTGGAAGAAGAATATCGAAATGATGTTGAAGTTTTTCTTTTCTTTCAATTTTTTTGAAACTGTAAAGTTCAGTTTCCCCCCAATTTTTTGGTTAAACGGAGAAAAAAAGAAGATAAGATTGGAAAGTCGAAAAAAATGATTCGAAAAACTTCCAGAAAAATCAATATTTTTTTAAAAATAATTTTAACTTTTGGATTGCCGTATCGAGGTACCGAATAAAAAAATAATCAACGTATAAAACTGCATAATTCCTTAAGTTTCAAGAAAAAAAGGCTCAAAATGGCTTATTTTAACGTTTTTTTTGATGGTATCAATTGGGTTTGAGGTGTTTTTTTTTTTCAAACAAAAAGTGGAAAATTTGCAGGTCTAGAATTTCTAGCGTGATACTTTACAAATTATTAGCCAATATCCAGAAAATTATTGATGGGAAAGTAAAATAGACTTCCTTGAGGGAGTTTGAAAAAGGAAATGGCGCGAAAAGGCTCGCGTCGCGGTCGCGCAGAGTTTTTTCGCGCTTTTATCTATTTATTTATTCTCTGAATTGGAGCGCCAAATGGGCGCCACAACTCTTTCTCTGACACACACTATTTCGTCGTTATCTAGCTGCGAGAAAACGACGAAATAGTGTGTGTCAGAGAAAGAGTTGTGGCGCCCATTTGGCGCTCCAATTCAGAGTTCTGCGCGAAAAGAAAAGTAAAACCATCTTTAATTCCAAACATTTTCTCAGTTCATATGCAAGAAGAAGGGTTTTCTGTTCCTCAAGGCTTTTTTAAGAAGGTTATATTTTAGGATTCATTTTCTCTGTGCGATTTCGAATTATCTTTCTTTCATTTCGAATCTACAAAGCTCAACATCTCGATTTTGTGAAAAATTACAGAGAAAAAAATTTTTTTGAATACTTTTTGTGTTTTTTTAGCCATATTTTTTTGAAAGAAAGTAATGGTTGTCCAAATGTTGCTTGAAGGACAAATTTTTCAAGCTTTTATAAAAAAATTTGAAATAATAAAACTTTGATAACACTGAAAAACGAATCTTGGCTTTGATAACTTTCTCAAATGTGCCTTTGAAAATCTCATTTTTTTTAACGTCGTAACTACAAAAAAAAAACCGGTATTTCAAATAACAGCATGAACTTGTACATTTTCTTGACTTGCTTATTTTAGATGTACAGTTCACCTTTTTGATCAAGAAATTTGAGGTCAAATGCACATATTGCGTCGAAAATCGACCGCATCCAAAGTTGGCGCGTGGCGAAACCTATTCGTGTGGCTACAAACCTTACAGGTACCTTTTTCCCTTTTCTGCAGGACTAAATTTCCAATTTCAGATGCGAAATATGCAAATACAGCACAACGACGAAGGGAAACCTCAGCATTCATATGCAGAGCGATAAGCATCTCCATGCCATGCAGGAACTGCCGAACAATATCGGTGAGTTCCGAGGCCGCGCCAAGCGTGTGCTTCCGTGGCGCAATAGGCAGCGCGTTCGGCTGTTAACCGAAAGGTTGGTGGTTCGAGCCCACCCGGGAGCGAGATCCTTTTTGCCAATTTTTACTGCAGATCGGCATTTTGTTTTGATGATTTCGATACGCTATCAGAAGAAAAAAAACTTTCACGTTTTACATTTTGTCTCAATTTCAAAAAAAATATCATTGCGAAAAGCCTTTCAATAAGCTTAAAAATCATTCTTTTCTCTCTAGGACTCGAACCAGCAATATTTCCAGTCATGAAAATAAAATCAAAACATTCGACTATTCTTCACAATTTAATAATTTCAGCCAACTTTCCATGTGCTCCAATGTCAAGATGCTCGCCGATCCAAGAAAACGACGCGAATTATCTTTGTCTGGTGTGTGGCTTCTTCGCCACTGATTCCTTGAAGGAAATCGTGGAGCACGCGGAAAAAGTATATCACCTTAAGAGGCCTCTCGAGTATTTCTTATTTTAGGATCGATCCCGCCCGGCTCAAGGCGATATTTTGCTGAACAACGGCTCGTACCACTGCAGACTCTGTCCCTACAATACCACTTTGAAGGCCAATTTTCAACTTCACACGAGGACTGATAAACATCTGCAGAAGGTCCAAGCGGTTAGTTTTTTTTTTTTTGAGGTTCTAATTTCAGAAGAAAAGAGCTTAAAGTTCCAATAAACCCGAGGAACATTTATAGTTTCGGATTGAAATTAGTCGATAAAATTGCCTTCAGATCTTTTCTGACCCCTGATTTAATATTGGATTTATATTTTTTTCCAAAGAGTATAAAAAAATGAAGAGATATCTAGAAACTGAAGATAGTTTTTTTCTGCCTGAGCGTCTCCACTTTTTGAATAATCTCATGTATAAAAAGATTGAACGAGATAGCGTGCAAAACGTGTAGAGATCCAGACACTCCGTGGTATTGTTATTTGCCTGGCTCTCTCATCTTTGCACTATCTCTAGCCTTTTTTGTAGTTTTAATTAATTTCTTTGCTAGAATATGTTATCATAAGTGTTTCATCGAGCATCAACTGACCTCAGGATGAGAGATTTTTCTAGAAATTTAATTTTTTGAAAAGATGAAGTTAATAATTGTAGATAAACTTTGGTTTGATTGATCAGCGATCAAGCTTTTTATAGTTTTTCAGAGGAGTACAGGGTCTCACCACGAAAAGTGTTATTTTGAGGCCTTTCTCCTTCCAAAACATCACCAAATCTTTCTGAATCACCATAGTTTTTTCCAATTTCTTCACAGGCTTTTCTCGAACTTTCATATGTTCCAGTTATGTGGGAACAGTGTAAGACGGTGATAATATGCAGGAAATTCATCGAAAGAAAGTTTGCATATGAATATGTTGTGGCGGCACGTCGTTTTGACGTCTTTTCTCACGATCCAACTTTTATTTCTTTCTGTAACGGCCTCCGCCCGGCCGCTCTTTCAAAAATATATTCCTCAATCGTATACTCCGTTTTATGTTGTTTAATTTTTTATTTGGGGAAAGAAATTTTGTTCGAAAGTACAGTACTCTTGAAAAGATTCAGGAAAGAATGATGAAAGCCTGAAAAAAAAAATAATAATTCGAAACCACTTGGGGTTTCCAATTTTTTTAAAAATTAGTTAATGATCTCATCAATTATCTGGTTAACTTTTGGAAGCCTAATATGGGCATAATTCATGCCGTACAAGGGAACTGTTTTAAAGCTTCAGGAAATTTTTCGAGTTTTACATTTTAATTAATAAAAATTTTTTTATTATCGACTTTTTAAGGATGAAAAACTTTTACATAAGATTGGCTGAAAAGGCTAGCCATGGATATTGAAGTTTGATCAAAATCAATTGATTGAATAAAAACCTTATGGCCGCATTCAGAATGGTTCAGAGCGTTGCGGTCGCGCTGCGATCTATGATATAACTTCGAAAAAAGGCTGTCCAGGCCAAAGTTTCTGATGTCCGCGAGCGCAAGTCGTTTTGTGGTCGGATGAATGTTTATGATAACTGTATTTGGTTATTATAAAAGTTGCTTCCGACCCCGTTCGCGATGCTGGCAAGCGCAAGCCGTTTCGTGGTCGGAGGAACTTTTATGATAACCGTTTTGCAATTATCAACCATTCCAAGTGCGGTCAACTTTTTTTGAAATCACAATTTTTTCAAGCCGTAGCTCTAGTATTTCCTTATCTCAGGGCTCAATTTTCGATTTAACTTTTTAGAATCCGTTTTCAAAGTCCGCTAAAGTATCCCATTGAGAATGCAAAACTTCAAAAAGCGGCCTGATGATTTTTTTCAAACTTCGTGTCAAGACCTTAATCTCCGTTGTTTGTAATCAATTTGTGCAGCGAAATGAGCGAAATGGGTCCCGAAATATGGTAATGAAAGGCGGCGGCTCGTCTTTTTTCCGATCCCATTTCGCTCTCCTTCTTGTACAAACAGTCGAGTTCTCGCCCAATTTCAGCCATTTTTTTTTTGATTTCCACCGCCTTTCCCATGAATAATTTGCCTGACACACTCCTTGATCAGTGTGCTCTCTCGGCTCCTTGTCGGCGTCTTATTACGGTATGAGCCATTTGCCCATTGGGCAAATAGTCTTTTCGACGCCGACTTTTTATGGCTTCTTATTTTTTGGAAGACCATTTTTTTGGAGTTTAGAGCCTTGAATTTTGAGTTTTTGGTTTTTTTCTCTCAAAACGTCTCTGTGAGTCAATTTTCGAAACTTGAACCTTTTTACCCTTAACATGAGCAATACATATTTACCGTGAGTCATTCTATAATATGAGCAATGATTTCGAAGCACGGTATTTTTTTGCGGAATTTTTTTATTTCATCTGAGAAGTGTACCGAGGTGAGTTTTGAATTTTCGGACAAATTTTTTTCAAAATTGAGCAATCTTATTTTTTTTTACGATCACAGGCCTTTTTTGCAAGAAAAAAGTTTTTTTTTGGAAGTTTTAAAGCCAAAGGCTTTTTTAGAATGAGCAATATAATTTTGACATACAAGAAGGTTCATTTTTTCGTAAAATTAATTAGTGACAAACTTCATTTACAGAAGATTTATAATTAAGGTTTTTTTTTTCTTTGATTCTTGAAGTTAGCCAAGCGGATATTAATACAGTTTCCAAACAAAAAATGTTCTCATTGCTTTTCGTCTCAAAATTTTTTTTTGTTTTTATGAGCACTTAAACATATGTCACATTCCCACGGGAACCCAGCAAAAACCATTTTTTTATTTTTTGTTTAAACTCGTCGGCAAAATTTGAAAACATATCAAAACGGCCTCCCACCTCCCACCCACACACACGCATTTCATACGACCACCGTAGCCCTTTGTTTTTTTCCCCCTTTTTTGTATAATTTTCATTGCTTTCCAATTTCTGTATGGAACTAGTACTATTACAAAGAGCGGAAATGAAATTGAAACGAGCAAAAAAAAAAATCTAATATCCATAATGCGAATCCCAAGTCTTAAGTTTAAAAGATAAGAGGATTTCTCGGGATTGTAGAAATATTCAAAAGGATATTAAAAATTTCGAAACTAAGCCCCTTGGCTGTGCAGCTAATGCGACACACACCGGCTTGTCCCGAAAAATTAATCTCTGAATTTCTTTCCGATTTAGGATTATCCAGGGTTTTTCCGTCTTGTTTTATCCATCTTGACTTGATGATCTGCAAAGTTTTAACAGGGAGAAATTGTGAAACTTTGATGATGAAATTTCCAGGAAAAATTCTTTTTTTCTGACACAATACTTTCCACAAGTCATGGGACATTTGCATATGAATTCATGAAAAATTTTGAATTTCTATGGTTTTTGGAGTACTGTAGGGAAAATAGATAATCTCAGAAGGTTTAGTATATTTTACAGTGTTTTTTAAACCGTTATGTAGCGTTTTGAAGCGGAAATCGAGATAGAAATAGTGTGAAACTTGTCAAAAATAGGAATGAAGTATTTTGAGCCCTTTTTCGGGTGCTTCTCATGAAGAGGGCGTTGATTTAAGAGCTGTAAGACACATTTTCAAACTTACGACTGGGAAAAGCTTCAGTGGCCACTTAAGTGGTTTCTCAAAGAGAGGACACTAAAGTGGTCACTGGGACCACCTCGATAGATGCCACTACTTTGCGTCATAGTGGCCACTAGAGTAGTTTGAATGGTCTGGTAGTACCGCTTAGGCTTCTAAAGAGGTCACTTCACTGGCTTCTAATTTGACTACTATAGTGACCACTTAAACTTCAAAACCCTGAAGTGATCACTCAATTTTTTTTTTACTCAAAATTAAAACTTGTTTCTTCTTGACCCACCAATTTGAACCCCAAAAGGGGACCAAAATCAATGAAACTCTCACCCCAAGAATTGGATCAAATCCTTAAGGGCGCCAAGTGCAATTACCATTCTATTTGTCAAAGCGACAGTGTTTGAACAACAACACCGGCCCGATCGTCGGTGACGGCGCGACAAAAGACGGCAAACAGAACAATCGCGCGTGATTTGCATTCCGAAACTCCGCCCACAAATTAGTTTACAATTAGTGTAGAAATTAATCTTTTTTTGATTGGTTTTTTTCATCAAAATTGATGATATTTCATTCAACCGGACTTCGATCTTCAATATCGCGCCCGGTTAGCATTTCGAAGCTCCGCCCACGAATTAGCTTACAGTTGATGAAAAATTAATTTTTTTGATATATGTTTTAACCAACTTTCATTCAACCGGACTTTGATCTTCAACAATCGCGCCCGGCTTGCATTTTGAAGCTCCGCCCACAAATTAAGAAAAAAATCTATTTGAAAGGTTTTTTTCTCGAAATGAGAAACATAATCTGAAGAAAGTTTGATATTTCTCAACTCTTTCAAACTCTTTCAAAAAATTTTCTTTCTTTAACTTCATAAAAATTTTTTTAAACTTCTGTAATCGCGCATAATTTAAATTTTGAAGGTGCGCTTGCAAATTCAAGAAAAAAATTGGTTTTTTTAAAAAAACTTACTCAAGAGAAAAGAGTCAGTTAGTGGGCTTGATTTGGTGAAATATGAATAGGTAAACTGTTTTTTTTTGTTGAAAAAAGGTTATTTTCTTCCCATTCTTGATGTTAGATGTACAAAGTTTGTGAATTCAGGTCATTTTAGAGACTTAAAATTCAGATTTCTTTGGAATTTTTATCTTATTCTATTATGTTAAAAAGCTATCTCAAGCCTAAAAAAAGAGAATAATAAGATTTTAAGACAACAAAAAAAGAGAAATATAAGAATGAACGAAAAAGGAAGTAAAGAAAGATTATTCGAAAACCCCCACCAAAGCTTATTTTTTTCGATGAATCGACTATACGATGAAATGTGATGAGAAAGGGCGCCAATAATTATATGGTGGCAGGAAAGGTGTTTCGTTGTCCTGTCGCGTCTCGTTCCAGCTTCTTCATTTCCTTTTTTCTTGTTTTTTTGATGTTTCTCTTTCTTTTTAGGCTTGAACTTGCTTTTTTCCAAGTTGGATGAGTGCAAAGATGGAATTATTGAAATTTTCTCTTTTGAAATATTTGGCCCACTAATCGAAGTTGTATCACCTTGGAAAAAACAGCCGCGACTGAAGAAAGAGTGCTCCATTGATAAAATCGGAAAAAAAACTCACGATTTTTCCTTTTTTGTATAGAAGTTTGAGCTGCTTTTTTAAAATGATCGATTTTTAAAAAAGCCACGTCAAAATGAAGATTTTGAGAAAAATTAGTCATAGAAGATTTGCGCTCCATTGAATAAGATTAGTAAGAAGTTCTCATTTTTAAAATAAAAGTCTAGATTTTTTTCAACTTAGAAACGCCAGTTGCAAAAAGTGGTCACTCTAGGGGAGCATTCTAGTGGTCCCTTACTTTTTTCTAGCTTTCAAAACGGAATAATAATTATGAAGCCACAATAGGGACCACTTAAGCTTTAAGGAGTTACGGGTCAGACCGTGAAGTCCTATAGGAACCATCTAAATTTCAACCCTCTAGGGAGCACTATTCTGTCCACTATAAGATTTTTTTCAACCGTTATGAAAACTTTGAAGATGGTGACGAATCATCCGTGGAGCGCATTTTCTACAGTCTTGATAATTATTTTTTCTTGAGATTTTGTAAATTTTCCTCGCCATTAACTACTCATCCACGAACCCAATAAAATTTTTTGGAAAAAAAGGGAATGAAAAGAAAAGAAAAGAAATGAAGGTTTATTGGCTAGGACGTCGGGCCGTGGTCCGATTGTCTTCTTCTTTCTTTTTTTTTCTGTCGGACCTCTTCGCCATGAGGGTGGAGGTCGTTATTGGACGTGCGCAAGTCTAATCGCCTAATGAGCGTGTCTTCGCCCCCCTGGCGCACATTGAAACTTCCCATTCTTCGGCTTTTTTCGACACTTTTTAAACTTCTTTGCTGTTTATTTTTGAGAGACTTACCAGAGAGACTGGTTAGTGATTTGTTGAAGAAATGTAGAGAAAAATTGATGGGAGGATCAGAAAAGATGAGGAAATTTAATGATTTCCCCTTTTTTTTTTCATTTTTCTTTGACAGTTTCGAGTCCTGATGTTTTTTTTTGGATAATATTCAATGATTTTTCTATTTCTTGACAGTTTAAGAATTCAACTATCGTTTATTTTTGACTGATTTTAGGAGTATTTTGGAGAAATACGAAGAGAACTTGACGAGAAATTTGAGAAATGGTGAAAAAAATCAATAATTTTTTTTATGAATTTTTTTCGGGTTTTCTAAAAAAATAAAAAAATCCATAATTTGATGGAAACGTATAAAAACTTGAAGAGTTTCAAAAAATGATCAAAAAATTCCATTTTTACCCTATTTTTCGAACAAGCCCTACTGTTATGAAAAATAGTGAGACTAGGGCTTGAATTTTTGAATAAATTGAGCAAATTCTTTACTTTTTACTGTTCCATGAAAATTTCAAATTGAAGTTACAATAAATTCATTTTTTTGATTGTCTTTGAGGCAGGAGTATTAATTCTACATTATGGGAAGTTTCTAAAGAAAATTTAGCTTTTCGATTTTTTCTCCTGTCAATTATTAGACTTCCAAGTTTTTGAAGTATTTGGGAGATATTTTTGCAAGAGGCTCGATTTTAAATCAGTTTTTTGGAGTTTTCATCAAGTTTCAAACTTTGATTAACCTGATCATAATTAATTACATCAAAATTGAGAATGAATCAACAATTTCTGATTCGAAATTCAGACAAACTTTGCGCGAGAACCCCGAAATTAGTGCAACAAGAGTGCGAAAATCGGCGGTCGGCAATTAGTTTGTGTGTGTGTGGAGAAATGTGGGCGGAGTCGACGACGGTGATTGGCTGATGAGAGCCGGCTGTCGCCACGCCCCCCATCGTCGTCTGCGTCTCTCGCTGTCGCGTCGCGCTTTTTGAAAGAGGCCCAATTATCGCTTATTGACAGCCGATCGCTCTCCTGTGTCCCTGAGACTCACACCCATTATGAATGAAATTGTCCTCCTGTCCTCCTCTTTTTAACCTTTTTTCGGTTTTTTCGATTTTTGAGTATTTTCTCGAAAGGTTAAGATCAGAAAAAAAGATAATTTTTGAGCTTTCTTGTTACCTTTTGAAACCAATTTTTCATTTTTACTTTGTCCTCAAAAACCAAAGTTATTTCCGGTCTTGAACCTTTCCATTTGAGGGGATTTTTTTCGGAAGTCAATCGAGTGAAAAAAAAAAGTATTTTTATGATTCATAAACCCATATTTTTCCTCTTATTCTTATATTCTCAACCTTTTTATCGATTTTTTTCGATTTTTTTACAAGCTTTTTTTAAAAAAATTAAAAATGAAAAAGTCGATTTTTTATATTTTTTTTGTATTTTTTTTCACTTTTTTTATTGATTTTTTTCGATTTTTCCCGAACATATTCGAGAGGATAAGAAGAGTCGGAAATTCAGGTTTTGTACTCCAATTTCATATTTCCTTTTTGTTGAACTTTTTTGACTTTTTTTTTCGGATTTACAAATTTTTTGGGTTTCATTTGTAAGGTGAAGGTGAGAAAATCGAACAAAAAACAGACTTTTTCTTACTGAAAGTTAAATTTTATTTCTTGTTCTTAAAATTTTAACCGACTTGCTCGATTCTATTTGATTTATGTCATAGAAAATTCTACATTCTAAGAAAAAATTATCACTAACTTTTTTCCCCTTTTTTTGTCTCTTTTCATCCTTTTTTGAGGTTTTTATTTCTCAATTTTCGGGTTAGACTATATTTCGACCTGTAACAGTTCTTTCCTCTACTCAAACTTAACTGTAAAAAAGTATCTGGACGATTTCGAATCGAAGAACTTTTTGCACCCCCAATTAGGCCACGCCCATTTTATGCTTCTTCAAGAACTTCAAGAACTTTTTTATGAATAAGCTACAGGATGGAAGTCCACTCGGAAAAGGGAAGATTATTTTCAAAGCTTTTCCTTATAACAAATTTTCGAAAATATTCTGAACTTTTGAAGTTTCTGAAGTGAAAACATGTTTTCAGAGTAGAATTTCGATGAACTTTAGTTTCAAAATACTTTTTCTTCCCAATTTTCAACTCTCAACAAACTTTTTCTTACTCATTTAGTTCATTGATTCCCAGGTAAGGCCTAATTTCAGGTTCTCTAGTCTTTAATTAAGTTTGTCGCTTTGGGTTACTCGAAACTCGGAGATAAACTTTGTTAGTACATTTTGGAAATGGGATTTTTTTCCACGGAACGTTAAGAAAAATTTGAACGTGAGTTTGAATGATTTTTCTGTTTCAATTCATTTTTTTCAGTTCATAAAAATATTATTAGATGCTCTTTGGTTAGTAGGTGCAAAAAAATTTTCTTCTCACAATATTAATAATTATGTAATTGAGAATTTCAAAGAAGAGAATGAAGGATATTGCTGTTTCAATAGTTTCATCTGAACTTCTCTTTCCTTTTATAGTATTGGGCTAGTCTCCTCTTTACCCAATATATTTCTTTCCCGGTCAAACCTACAAAGTTTACGGTTTCAGCTTTTCTATATTAATAATAAATCTTGTTCAATCTTGTTTTTTTCTATTCTTTGATTTTAACTTTTTGAACAGCTATTTCATTATTTTCCCTTCGTAAATTTTTTTAAAAATTTTTAGTTTAGGCCTTATTTTTTTATCAATAATGGCGCAAAAATACACTTTCGAAAAAAAAAATCTTGGCTTCAATTGAAACTTTTTTGAGCTGCCTTTTTTCCTTTTTCTTGGCCACACATACAATGCTTGCAAAGAACTTTCTTAAAAACGCCCCCGACCCAAAACTACTAGCGCCTCAAGGCATCAGGAAGTGTGAGAGATCATTTTTGGCGAATGAAGGATATATCACCATTTTCTGAGTCAATTTTCGATGTTTTTTAACTTCCAGAAATATTCAAATTTTCTAAGTTTGAATAAATTATGTTGAGCTTGTATCAATAGGAAGAATAATTATGAAAACTTAAATTTTCAACGAGTTTTATCTAACCATAAGTGAACATTTTCCCTTGGTCTTTCAAATTTATCATTACGATTGATTTTTTAGTTGAACTAAGAATTATGTAAAAAATTGAAAATATGTTAAGATTTTGCAGGCGAACCACATCCGAGAAGGACACGCGGGCAATTCGGCCCTTTATAGGTTGGCCAACACGAAAGCGGCCTTCCAAGTGCTTTGCAAGCCCTGTCAGGAAGTGTTGTCGAGGTAAGCAAGTGGCTAAGCGGCTTGATCGCTGTGAAAAGGGTCGAGAGTTCGACTCCTCGCGGCGCTTTTGATGTTTGGCATGGGTTTTTCATAGCTTTTTGTGGAAGAAAAAAACTCTTAATTTAAAAAGCCTCTCTGAAACTCGAAAAATAGTTATTTTCTGTTATAAAATCATATTTTTTTGAAGGAGCGAATGTTGAAATTATTCATGTAACATTAAGAGGATGAAATTATGTGATTACAATGAGATTGGGAAAAGAGTAATACGGAATCATATTAAACTAAATAATTTAAGTATCGCGCAGCCGTTTCGGGTCTATAAAAATGGACGGCTTAGTTTTTTGTTAAATTTTCATGATAAGGATTGTTCGATGTTGAAAGGGTCGATGGTTCGATTTCTCTTGTTGTTTTTTTGCTGAGGTCTCTGAACTAATGTTTTTCGATCATTGCAATAAGCCCTTTTTGTAATATTTAAGCTTGCGAATTTTAATTTTTCAATCTGATGGTAGTGAATTTATTAAACTTTGAGCCTCCATATCTCAAATTGATTTCAATATTTTAACAAGTTCTCCACAGCTTTATACTCACCGCTTCCAGGGCTATCAAATGAATTCAGTTTTGTTTGATAAAAAATATTTTTCAGTACCCAAGCCCTTCGAGAACACTGTGACTCTGTGGCTCATAGGACTCAATTGAGGCAGCCGATCGTCGTCTTTTCATGCAAATTGTGCCCTTTCGAAACCAACACCACTTCTGAAGCCACTGGTGGGTTTATTTTACTTTTTTTTTACTATTAGAATAATGAATTTCGTTGAGAAATTCGGAGAAAAATGGGGAAAAATTGGAAATTTCCTTTTTGAGTTTGAACATGTTTTATTTCATCAACGAAGCTTTTGAATCTTAGCATACCCTTAAAGCTTTTCACACACTAATTTCTCTTTTTTATCGCCTGAAATCGCTCAAAACAGCTCAACAATACACTAGCAAAATCTTATTGTTTTATTCAGTACAAATGCGTCCCTTGAAACAGCGAAAATTCATAAATATCCTTTCTTCCAAGGCCCACAAAATCTCTCATCAACAGAGCACAAAACGCACTTCCAACTGGCTACTCTTTCTAAGACTTTTGAAAGTCTTTGATTCGTTTTATTTTTCATTAGATCACGCCATTTTACAAAACATGTCTTCCCTGTTATAAATGTTTTTTTTTTATCGAAGGAGCGCGATTTCAAGATTTCGAGACGATTTTTTTCTTCAGATTTTCAGAAATTTAGATTTTTTTCCGGTTTATTGATTCATTTCACAGAAAAAAACTTCTCTCTGTTAAAAAAAAACTCCAAATCATCGAAGTGAATCTTCCAAGAGACTTTTTTTCACTTTAAGACGGTTCTCGTCTTCCCATTGACCATGAAATTAACAATCTTCATGAACCCACTAAAAATATTCATGTCAAATCGATGATGATGCCCGTGCGAGGCCATTAATGACATGAAAACGACCCCGAAACAGCCGAAGAAAAAAAAAGAAATGAAAAGAAATGAGCCGATGAGTGAGAAGGGGGAAAAGATTAATTCGGAATAAAATTATTGGTCTATCCAAATGAGCGGCGGCGGCGGCGACGGACGCGTTCCGTTTTGGTCTCTGTCTATAAAACCGCGTCAAGGACAGTTTCAGTGCAAAAGAAGAGAGAAGGAGAGAGAAAGAGACCTGTTCAAGTGGCTCATCATAAACAATGCTCCAAAATCCCCAAGCAAGGACACACGCAAAACCATCTTGACCGTAATTAAGTGTGTTACAATTGCGCCCCCATCGCCGCACTTTTTCAAGAGTCTTTTGCCGTCCCCTCCACACCCAGAATTTTGTTTCGAGAGTTCAAACTGTTGAATTATTGATTTTTCCAGTCAATGCGAGTTTGGGGTTTGTAAAGAAACAAAACTTTGCTTTTTCTTCAAAAATTCGGTCAGGAAATCCTTGTACTAGATGGAGGAACATAGTTCTGCAAACCTCTCTTGAATCAAGTTTTCAGAGAAGTTTTTCAAAATGCGATACTTCTGATTTATCGATTTTTTTCAGTCCAGTAGAAAGTTGAAACAAAGGTAACTTTACTTCTTCACAAAAAATTTTCTGATGGAAGATCTTGAGAATAATTTTTGTAGGTGGAGACTCTCAGGATCTTGATTCAAAGTTTTAAAATTCTTTTTCTTCCTGAAAACTGATCTCAAACGATTCATTTTTTGAGTTTTCAGAGGGACTTCCCGAAAAAACTCAAGCTATCGAGTAAAAAGAAAGTCAAGAGGAAGTTCAGACCTTTTCCAGATAAGAAAATGAAAAAAGATTCTGAGGGTGCTGAAAAAATATGAGGATATTAGGGAAATTTCTACGCTCTGTTGATAAGAAACTGCGGAGAAAAAGCATTCCGAAACGACCGCGAAAATCTTGTTTCTTCGAAATACCTGTCAACTTCTGACTTCCCAGGTTTCAAACATTTTTTACTTATGGTAGCTGAAATAAGAGCACCTTTATCAATAGAGCAAACTTGCTGAAAGGAGCAATTTACAAAACTGTGTAAAATGTCGAAAGTGGCCGCTAATGACAGTTTTGCCTGTTAAAAACAATATAGCTGAGCAGATTTGATAAAAAAATGACATTTATCGAAAAATTGTGTCGGGAAACATTAAAGCTTCCAACGTGTCCCAGACGGACCACCGTTAATGGGTTCGCTGATGAATCAGCAGAGTAAAAAGAGGAAAAGAAAATACGTCGGCCACGGCTTTCCTCAGCTCCCCACACTGTTTTAATGATTTTTTTTTCCTTATTTTACTGATTTTTGTTGGAAAATTCGGTCGGGTCTTTATGATGAGTGTTTTTTTCTATTTTTCAAATTTCGAAAAGGTTTTTGGGCATTTTTAGATGTTAAAGTACATATTTATTCATAATATGAGCAGTTATTAAGTCTGATTCTTGAAAAAAAAGTCAATATATAGGAAAAAATATTTTCTACTCTATTTTTCTGTTTTTTGCCTAAAATGCTTTCAATTCTTGTTTTGAAATCAACATATTGCAATTTAAAGGCATAAAAAAGCTTGGAAAAGGACCCACAATTTCACAAAAATGAGAAATCTCCTTTTTTGGTCGACTATATTCGATTTGTCGGAATTTTTAAACTAACCAAAATCAAGAATTGTAGGCGTTTTAGTGACATTTAACTGGAATATTTTGAAAAACTGAAAAAAGGCCGATATAAAAAAGAGCGGCTTTTCCATCATGCCATTTGTCAGGTTTTCCTTCAATAATTCTCAAATTTTCAGCACATATGACGTGCCACGAACCGTCTACTTGGCCCAGGGAGCAGATCGGTGAGTCTTCCATTCAGTTTCCGGAAAAAATAGCGATTTGAAAGAAGAAGACATTTTTTCTTCTTCTTTAAATGTCTCATTAGATGCGTTTGTCTTGGCCCAATTTATATTGCTCGTTAGTAACTCTTGACGACGCTTTTTGATTTCTCCGGATTTTTCTTCAACTTTAAGGCTTCGGTCTGGCCTAATTTGCTCGGCATTTCTTCTTTTTGTGGGAGTTTATAGCTTCTGGAAGGTTTTTCTCGTGGTTTTTGAGCTTCAAAAATAACGGTAGGATGGGGGAAAAGTAATCGACGATTTCATATGAGTTTTTGACCTCTCAGATCTGAAAACTGCGAAAAAAAAATCGAAACGTTTTATTCGCGTGAAAGGCCTAAAATGACTTAATTTCAAAGTCCTCTAAAAAAAAATTTGAAGCTACAATTTGAGCCATTTCCCGTGTGAATATAATTTTCTGCTTTCATCAGTGTTTTGAACAAAATCAGGACTTCGAAAGCTACCAAAATTTACCGTACAACAGAAAAGTTTCTTCATTTTTCTGTGATTATCAAGAGCTATCAAATTCAAAGATTACACAGGAAAATAAAAAAAAAATTTTTTTTGAAAAATCAGTTTTTTTTTGAGAAATTCACACCATCTACTTAATAATATCATAGATGAAAAGTTGGATTCCGAACTTGATTAGATCTTTTTTCAAGTGATTCATAAGGCAAAATATGTGTTTAATTTCGATTCAATGAGTTTTTGAAGGTACCTAGTTACTTGTGAACTGTGTGTTGAAGTTTGATGAAGAAATTTTTCCAGTGTCATGGAAATTCGCAAATTCTGGTTCGGTTTCTAATCGTGTTTTGAATTTTGATGAGATTTTTGTAAGTAGCGAATATTCTGAATGTTTCTGGAAGCTTATAATCGAAAAAGCCTTTTTAAAGGAAAAAATTTAAGGAACAACTTTTGCGCTGTAACGATAATTCTGCCCAAAAAAGCTAGTCTCTTCCGTTTTTTGATTTCCAAGCTATGCTTTGAATTCCGATTATGTTTCTGCCAAATAGGAAGTATAGCAACATCTGTGGAAAGCTTATAGAAAAAATAGCCTCAAATTGAAGAATATTATGCGCTCTAACGCCAATTTTGCACCAAATGACTTTCTTCTTCGGTTTTGCAATTTTCAAGCTTTTGGTCTTTTCCAAGTAAAGAGTATCCCAACTTTAGAAGGAAGCTTATAGTGAAATATAGCTGTGAATTGAAAAAGCTTTTTGCTTAAAATTTTTTTTCGATTTCAGATTTGAAGCGTCTTAACTGGAAGTTTCATATTTTTTTACTTGGTTAAAAAGCTGTATTTTAAAGTTTCATGGTACTTTTTCAACTAAAAAACATGCCAATTTTTGAGGGAAGCTTCATAAGTGTACACAGATTTGACACATTTGCTCATTAGTGTCGGCTGGATGGATAAAAAGTTGTTGGAGGAAGCCCCAAAATCGCCCGACAAATTCGTTAGCGGTGTCTCCTCGAGCCGTGAAAGATGAAATTAATTTCCCTTTTCCTTCTTTCTTTCCTCCTGATTTCTTTTTCTTCATTTTGGTTGTCTTTTTTATGTTCTTATGTGAACAAGAAGTACGAAGAAGAGTTGAGCAAAAACAGCTGTCAGACTTGAGATTTTTGCGCTCCATCGCTAATTTTTTGAGAAGATACGTATAAGGGCTTATCGATCTTTCAAACTCCGGTTGGGATGTGAAAAAAATAAGAAAGAATCGAAAAAAATCGTCTTGAAACTAAGGTACTTATCGCCCCACTGATAATTTACAGAAAATGGCCGATTTTTGAAACTGAGCAAAAAATCGATTCCCCTTATCAGTAGAGCGCACATGTATTGACTTTTGAGGCTGTAATTTCCTATAATTCTTGTTTTTTTGAAACTTTTAGCCTGAAAATTAAGAAAGTTCGTTTTGATTTTGGCTTTGATCTTTTTTTAAAGGCTGAAAAAACAGATACTTTTATTTTTAGAAGAATTATCAGAATTTACTGAGAGATAAGATCATTTCAAAGCCTGCAGAATTTGAGAAAATCTGATTTTTTTTCGCCTCAAAAAGTAGAGGTTCCTTCCCTTTGTAGATCAACTACTTCAAGGAAGGTGAATGAAAAATCCAAAAGCTCAAAAAATTTTGAGAGGTTCGGAAGTTTACAGTGAATTTTCAGCCTTTTCTGCAGTACTGATTTTTCTGCTCCTTCTTTTTTCTTCTCTCTATTTTTACTTTTCCACGACCCCGTCGGAGAGAGAGAGGAGGGCGCAGACTAGTCAGACAGTTCCAAGTCGTGGTAAATGAGCAGAACTCACAATGAGATTTCGGGAAATTAGGCCGAACATCGAATCGACTTTCCTCCCATCCTTTTTTCCGGCAAGATGCCAAAGCGTTTGTTCTTTCTCTTCCGTCCTAGTTTGGAGGCCAACTCTCAGAGGCCCAATATGATGAATCGGCTTCATCACTAATTTGCAATTGCGACCAGAGCCTTCCCGGCCTCGCGCCCCCGGCTCCAAATTGCCAGTGGGATTTGGCTCCTTGGTCTTCCGTTTTTTAAGAATTTTTTTGTCTGTCCGTTCCAAGTTTTGTTTTCGATATTTTAATTAAGATTAACTTTTCACCGGGGCTTCTTTTGAATAGTCATCCATTTTTTTCGTTGAGTTTATAACTCTAGAAGCGGTTTTCAGTTGATGCGCAGTGAAATAGTTCATATTATCCGTTTGAATTAAATTTTTATCTTTAAACATGAGAAATAAAACTTTAGGTTCATTTGTCAGTTGATGCGCAGTTAAATCTTTCAAATAATCGATTTTAATCAAACTTTAGCTGCTAACATGAGCAATGCACATGTAGGCTCATTTCTCTGTTGATGTGAAGTAAAATTATTAAAGTAATCAATTTTATCTCTAATTTAAACTTCTAACATGAGAAATGAACTTATGGGAACATTTTTAGTTGATGTGAAAATTAGTGAAATCATAAAAATTGCCGTTTAAGTAGATTTTTCAACTTCTAAGCTCTTTAATCTGATCAATAACGAGAGTTTTGACTTTCTCATGTTAGCTCCAAATTTTAAAATTTCAAAATTTGAAACTATTTGAAAACAGCAATAGACGTCAAGAAAAATTCAACGCTTTGTAACATGAGCAATATCTAGAAGCTCCGCCCATTTTCCAACCTTTTTCTGCCTTCAATTTCTCATTTTCTTAAAGGAGTTTTCTTATTTTTGGTGTCTCCGCTAGCGCCTTCGACTAAAACAAATGTTTTTTATTTCTCAGCAATTATTTTTTTACAAGACAGTTTTTCAAGTTTTGTGGCAAATTATTGAGTTGAGACTCTAGACTTTCAGGAATTAAAAAAAATTTCACTGTACTATTTAAAACCTTGATCTCTCTGAAACACTTTGGAAACAAAACGCAACGTTTTCGGGACATTTTGCGACGGAAAATTCTCGATCGCCCAATTCCTCTATTCAGTATGTGGACGATGTGGCGCAAAAGTTTTGGAAATGAGGCGAATTGGGTCAAAACGCCTCGTTTTTCCCATGTCACCTCGCATATAAATGCACAAATCAAATACAGTGTTTGTGTGTGAGTGTGGCGCGATTTTTCGATCGAAATTGGCGCCCGCCGACCGCCCTAGCCTATTCAGGAAGGACAATCGAACGAAATGAGACGTTTTTACTTGATTTTCAGATGACTTTTTTTCGAGGGGATCAAAGTTTTTTTTCGATAAATATTATTTGAGTCGTGAATTCTCTTACAAAGCCTCAGGTTAAGAAAAAAAAAGATCTTTTTCCGAAAAAATCATTTTTTTAGAGACCAGGGTGTAGTTCATTTTGTTGCTCAGGTTACCGAGATCCTAGGTATTTTTTCACAAATAATTGAAAGTCTATTGAATTGCTATCAAAATTTCCCTGTTTATCAAACTTTTCTGATTCAGGAATCAGTTGTTGATCAAAATTTTTGCATCACCGTGAAACTTTTCAGCTGCGAAACCTTGTCAATTTCTCGCTTTGGATCCTCTGAAAATTCAGCTGAGCATCAACTTTATCAGGCTCTCCTTTTTTCTCAAAATTTAGGCTAGGAACAAAATGCCCTCCGAAAAAAAAATTGAGCAAAAAATAACTTTTCAGTAAACCAGAACAGTCACTGTACATTTTCACCGAGAATTTTTTTTTTTTGAGGAAACTTTGGAGAAATCTGCAGTTTTATCAAACCTAGAACAGTCTCTGGCTCAAGTATCACTTAAAATTTCGCTGAGCATCAACTTCAGATTACCATTCCTTGGCTCCGTATCAGTCTGAAAGTCCCTGAGCACCAGCTCTTGAGAAACGGCTCTCTGCTTTGGTTGACCAGTCTCCTCTCTGCAAATGGGTAGATAAATGAGCCAATTTAGGTTTGTAGGAGGAGTAGGGGGATTGGATGAAGCCAAAGAGCTTCCTTCCAAGTTGCCAGTATCGATGGAGCATCTTGACGGGCCGCAATTAGTGCGTGTGTGTGTGTATGCTCGGCTGGAGCTCCCAAAACTGAGCTCCACCAAATCTTTCGATGTTATCGTCCTTGGGGAGGATCCTCTCTTTAGTTTTAGTTGTTCAGAAAAATGAACAAGGAAAAACGAGTTTTTCCCAATTTTTTTCCGGAAAATCAGAGCGATTTGAGAAGATTTCTGAGGTCGGAACTCGAGAATGAGATCTGAAACTCAGGCTTGAGCAGAAAAAGCTGAGTTTGAACTTTTGATCAGAGCGATCTAATGAATGGATGGACATTCCAAACAGGCCGAGGCGTATTTTCAAAGCTCAAATTTTGTGTTAGAGTTTTGTTCTGAAGCTTGGAGCAAGAAAAAATAAAAGTATGAACCTAAGAACAGATTCAGTACACTTTAAGGTTCAGAAACAAGGACTCAGTAGGGCTTTTATTGGAAAAAAGCCCCTTTTTTCTGTAGCCAAAAAAATCATCCTTCAAGCTCAAAGTGTTGGAAAAAAAAAAATCAAAACCTTCAGAATTAGAGGAAAATTGAGAAAA